CATCCTATTTTGGGTATACCGGTCCATGCAAGTCAGCTAACCAAGCCCAGGTGATCTAAATTAATCCGGTTTTATGAGGTGAGTCTGTCCGGGTATACAGCTGGGTAACTTGGCTCCAAACAAACGAAATGGTCATCCGGCACTTAGATCATCATCGTCATCATCATTATCATCATCACCATCAGCATCATCATCAGGATCAATATAGGACTAGGCATTACTGAGTAACGGTCCAAGTTGCCACACCTCGTATCACCACATCATATAATAAGGCAATGAAATAAAGATGAAAAAGGAGAGAAAATCGGTCAGCGGAAGTGGAAGTAGGAAGTAGTAAAACAGAGGAAGGAAGAATGAGGAGATGATAATATAAAGCATAGCGGTTAAGATGGTGGTGATGTGTATTCATCTAGGCCACTGACACTGGTTCTGAGCCATATCACCTTGAGTCTCCAACTACTGATTTCTTTTATCCCGTGGACCCGAATCGGCTAGTCTGCATCACTCTACTTGGCCCAAACGAACAGTCGAGAATTTCATGCATTGATGCATTTCGATCAATCTATTCTGGCTGGCTGACGAAATCTGCAATTCAACCTGGATGATCTCTAACTGTTATTCAGTGATATACAGTTCATGACAATTTTCTGTCACAGATCACACCCTGTGATCTTGGCTGGGTGGTTTCAAACAGAAACCCTATTGACACCTCAGTTGGGCAGTTGAAAAACTACTGCACCTGGACCCAACAATTTGCAAATCATTCACGAACTGATCATCCTATTTCAAGTCTTTTTATCACTTAAATATATGCAATCGTTAGTCGTCATGCGTAGAAGAAATACATATCGTTCTTTTCATTCCTAGATATCAAGATTATTTCTAGTCGTGAATTTGAGGCAAACAGCTGCGTTAAATACTACATGAGCACACAACAAATTCTTGCGTAATATAAAATCAGATTTATTTGAAACGTGAATCATTGCATAGACCATCCATTACTGTTCTATAGTTGCACAGTGATATGCAACACACACTAACGTCTCGGACTGCACTAGCGAACATTAGTGACACAACTAGCGATGAACCAAACATGTTTGCTACTTGCAATCGGTTGTAGCAAAATCTGATGTATTTAAATGTCAAGCTTCCGTATTATTTAGATTTGTTATACATAGCGAATTTTCATACTGTGTGACTAGTATGTTCCAAGCTATAATCCAGGGAACTAATTCGACCGAAAAGACCAGTAACCTTGAGCCAATATTTTCAATCAAGTTCCAAGGGATAATTGGCTTCAAATCGTCTTTTTGAAATTCCGATTATCACCAAATTTCAACTGTAATCTAGTGTTCTCACGTTCAAATCATACTATTCTTTTGGTGTAGATTGAGAGAGAGGAAAAGTTTTCAGTGAAGAGAAATTTTTCTTTTGAACGAGCTTATTCTGAAAGTTGTGCGATCTTCAATAAAAAGTAGAAAGGATAGAACATTCTAGAGAAATTTCCTATCAAAACAGTGATCATAAAACGAATTATTACTACATTACATGGGGATCATCTAAAACGACAGGCCGTTTATGATATCCATGGCAGAGGAAGAGATTATAGATATGTTTTTGAAATCACGTTGATGGTTTAAACTTTTGAAATGATGGTGCTTCAGATATACAAAGAAGTCCTAAGCTTGCTCTTTTCGAGTAGCTTGACTGCACTTTATGAAACATTTCGAAGAACTTATCTAAAGTGCCCAAGAGTCCTGAGTCTACTAACCGTTCCGTCACACGGCTAAATATACTTTCTGTTGTCCCTTTGTCAACTAGGTTGGACAGCGTTTAAAGATGGGCATCGCAGGCTGCCATATGATACGGTCAATGTACTTGGCTTCACAGAAGTAAGGAAACTGATATACATAATGCACACACACTAATTTTACCTGAAGCTCCGGCTTATTCTTTGCATAGCAACTAATGAATTTATGACGGGAGAATATAATTCTGGAATTAGTGGCAAAAAATGTTTTGTCAACAGATCCTAACGGTTGCTTCTTTAAGATATATACCTAATTATCACCCTCGAGTTCGAGCTTCCAAGATTCCCATTGCCTTCGGAATCTTAGGTATAAATTTCAGTGGGTAACCATTTTCTACCAGGATCTCTCTCAAGTTCTTTAGTTCACCATCGATGGTATTCTCTGTACATATTCTTTGCACCATTAAGGAAAGTGAGTTGACTAGATTCCTATTTCAACTTAAGGAGATACAACTTTGAAAACTAATAAATGATCTTTCTGTAAATAGATATCTGAACTGAATTGCCATCTTTTCTTTGGAGCTAGGTATTGTAGAAAGGGAATTTCGGGTTTGACTCGTTCCAGAATGAAGTTGCCAGAGAAATGAGCACTACCAAAGATTTAAAGTAGATTTTCATGGTTAATATTCCTACCATAAATTATAAAGGTATCACCTATGTATCTTTTGTGAAAATTAATTTTGCTGGTTATTTTTTGACATTGTTAAGTTTTCCAGGCTTACCATAAAGAAATCATTTAAAAAAGGTCCTACAGGCGATCCCATTGTGACACCATTTATCCGTTTTGCAGATTTCATTGTTAAAATCTAAAGTGCACACTGAAAGTACTTTTAGAAGTCCTTCCAATGTTAATGTTATAGGACTGAGTAAAGTCATGCGAAAAACAAATGGCTTCTTTAAATGGAACATTTGTCATTAAGGAGAGAACATTCAGAGAAATCTTCCTCTTCCTTGACAGACTGACAGTTTTAATGAAGTCAAGAAAGGGGAATATGTCACACAGACTATGATTCAAAATTCTACTCTTCACTAGTTCAAGTATTTTGAAGCATACCTTGAGATAAAAAAGAGACTATCATGCATTTATTTCTAAAACACAAGGTACAGTGAAATTCCACTAAACCTTTAGTAGTTAACAGTTATATAACTTCAATCAAATACAGATGATGAAGTTTATAAACGGAGCAAATCTGAGATGGAGTACATTAAAGGGTCGTTTATTTTACGAACAAATTATGTACCCATTGTGTCCCTCAAAAACATGCAAAATTTATCCATCTTCAATCCATAACATAATCCAAATATAAATACTGTCTTTATCAATCATAATAAAATTCCATAAACTGATGCAAAACAGGCTGTGTTCTATAATTAATACACATGAAGTCAACAGAAACCTAAATGAAATTTTGTGTGGCATAGGATGTAAATTTGAATGGTGCAGCATAACTGTAAGAGTGAAATGGAAGGAAAAAACATCAAGAACCTGAATTCCCAATAAACACTTTGAAAGTTACCTGAATTTAAAAGTAGTAAAATACTTTATTCAGGGAAACAGTAATCAAAGGCACTAGGAATAAAACATGATCAACCAGCTTTTAAGGTTTAATTGTCCACAAACTCCACATAGCACAACTGATAATGATGGAAATGATTAAGCTTTAGGAAGTGAATCTGTTTCACAATTACCTTATTATTTTACATAATGAGTTCTCAATGGAGAAAGTCATACATGAGTCTAATTAACTTTAGTGGAAATCAAACCAAAGTTTTGTAAATAAGCTGTATTGCATCAAAAGATTTATCTTGAAATGATTTCATTCTTGCAAGTAGTGTCATGTAATGAGTCAACAGAAGTTTTGGACTTTCAGAAGTTTCATCTGTGTAGTTTGAATTACCGCCCACTTAGGTTGAACATCAATTTCAAGTTATATATATATATATATATATATATATATATATATATATATATATATATATATATATATATATATATATAATGAGGATATCTGTAAGATAATGGCACTCAATTGAGATTCAAGCTAAGAAAGTATTGTCCATCAGATTTGAAAAAGCTGTTACGAAATTATCAAATCCTTTAAGAACTCAAAAGGTCCTTAACTTGATTCTTGTAAGATCTACTGTACTCAACTCAAGGGGATGAAAAAGATGAAAAAAATGTCCATCTAATGCTCGTTAATCTACAGTTTGTCTACAGGCAACTGTATCTGGTGATGCACTTAAGTAGCAATAAAAAAATTTGTCATTACCAGCTGTTTAGCACAGTAATTTGTAGCGAAGATAAGGAATCTAGTCCAATTATAGAATATCTTCATCTGTCTATTTAAACACTTGTCTAGTGATAACCTTTTAGGATGACCGAAATGCATACCGGCAGTTCATATTTGTATACTCCTGCAAACATCATAATACTATATGGCACTGTGAAGTTTCAGTTAGTTCTTAATTACTATGAATCTCAAAAATTATTCTTCAATTTTTCTATGCAATGTGTTTATTTCACTCATATATATATATATATATAATGAAAATAAAATTGTAATTACGTAATGATATAGTAATAAAATGAATAAGGTATACATGTGTAGTTACCTGATACAAAATGAATCTGTGACCGACAGGGTTTTATGACAGCCATGGGAAAAAGATAAAGGTTGGACGTACCTTTTTTACATGCATAACACTGGTTTGAACTTCTGGCTGGCTAGTGCTTCAGCTATAGAACAGATGCTTTGATTTTACTCCCCTCGAGTGGTTTGATTTAACCCTGTAGAGAATTTTGAATGAGCTCTCGAAAGGAGATAAATGGCCTTAGTTCACAAGGTGTTCTGTTATCCAACTGAAGATGCATTTTCGTTGTTCCTGCATTACGTAATTACAATCTTATTTTCATATATATATATATATATATATATATATATTATGTATATATATATACATATATATATATATATATATATATATATGATTACTACGATTATTTAATGTCACAATTTTGAAATTTTCAGAGTGAGATAAAAGAAGAATGCATTTCCGTGTAAGTTACGCAGTGAATCAACAAATAATCTGTTAAACGGTAGCAATCTATTCAACAGCTGGAACTTAATCATCATTTAGCTGAAGAAGGAGAATTAATTGATTGACAGACTGACTGACTGAAGAAGGACAGATGTTTCGTAGCTGTGAAATTCAATTTCTTGCAATATTCACTTTGTTTGAATATTTACTTGTACAAAGTAAGTGACTTTATATATTTATGGTAAGAAAATTTTTTATTCTAAATAGTAATTTAATTTTGAGGTAAACTCATAAAATAAACACTAATTACTGATAGACAAACTTCGATCAGCTTGTTAAAAACAATTACTTTACATCAGTTAGAAAGCAAGCAGCAATTCTTTTCGTAACGGTTAACTTCCATACTGAGTTTTCTTATCTAGCATCATTTGGTAACCGCATATATTTTCGATATACATTAGAACTATCAAGGTAGTAGCAGATACTACTGTTCTTATTTATTCCTTTTAGATATCTAATAAATATATACCTGAATTAAAAGTAATTCTTTATAATTATTCGAAGTAATTTATGAAGGTATCAGCTATTTTTGTATTTTGAAATAATCTGTAACGAACTCTGTATATCCATAGAACAGAATACGTTTTGCAGTCACACAGGACATATTTTAGGGGTCTTGCTCTACATTTAGTTAAAATACTATATTTAGTGCATGGAAATTATTAACTCATCGATACAGCAACCTAATTTGTAGGTCTTAATCAAGTTGATAGGCCTAGAATTTAATTTATTTACACGTAGAAATAAGACATATATCAACGAAGAAGAAATATTTCTTTTCAATGACTTCATTATCAAGCTGTACAGTCACATTTATACCCGACATAGTGACAGATAATTGCACTAAAAGGTTGCTTAGTCAATATGCAAAACATACAATAGGTGTTAGTGGTGGTATTTGTTCAAGTGGAAGAAATAGAAAATGGGTCACTGAATAAGGAATGAATTGATAACAAGTGGTGAGATAAGAGACATGTGCTATCAAAGAATTGTAAAACGGTGATAATTTAGCTGAAACATGCAAAATAGGTCAATGATAAGGAATGAATTTATATTAAGTAGTGAAATATGGGTCAAACGCTGTTAATGAAGTGAGAATTGGTGATAATGACACCTAGGACTGTATCAGTACTGAAAGATTCAAACGAATTGACCAAACAGTGTGTATCTAACGTGTGATAATAGTGTTACTGATGTCAGACATTTAACTCCTTTTATTTAATTCAAATATCATGCGGTATACTTCTGATATATAAAAAACTAAACAGAGGATAATCCTTTTACGTGTTATTATCGAAAAACCTATTTCATTTTATAAGTGTTAACAAGTAATTCTAAATAGTTTAGATATACCTACAAATTGAGATACCATGAAATCAAAAAGTCCGAACAAGATTACTCAAGAAAATAAGTATTGAAGAAAACTTAGACGAAGATGGTAATTTTCTTACTTTATGGGTCTCATCTAACAACTGAATAGCTTGTGTTTGAAGCACAAATTTGCTTAAAGAGTCTTAAACGAACAATTAAATGAACAATTTATACAGCAGAGAACTAGGTTTTCTTTTCCTACATTACTTATGGGATCTTGATTAGCTACCTTCTCAGAAAAATTGTTGTTGTAACTCCAGCCAATGTGGGATCAAAATATACTGGATATCTTGGTTAATCAGTGTCCACAATTTTCTACAGTTATACGTAGAACACATGAGACGGAAACAGCTTATTGTACTAGTGACCATCACAATGCTTGAAATGAATAAGTTGATTCTATCTGGAGGTTTGTGGAGGTCTATTAATTGACTTTAGGTTGGAATTCATCACGGGTAGATATGAGTTGAAAGAGCATTCGAAACCTGAGATTCATGCTATCACTTTATAGGTCTCTATGCATCCGGTCTTTCAAGGAGGGAGTAAAGTATGTAAACAAATCTTTAAAATGAATAATTATGCCGAAAAATTTCACTTTCTATGCGGAGAGTTATATTAAACAAGATCATAAAAGTACTCTTAAATCAAAGCCAACAAAAATGACTATTCCATACTGGTCACACTCATGGGATGAAATTAGTAGAGTGCTCAACAAATGGAATTCCAGAATATCAGACTCGTTACAGAGCACCTTCGTCTATCTATGTGAAGGCCAAAATTCTTCAAGAATCATAATCTGCTTTTATAAAATAAAGTACTCAAACTGGGATGCAATATATATAAGACAAACTCCTGATGAAGTCACAGAAAAAATAAACATTGAAGGGCTTCCATTTGATACCCGAAAATCTAGCAGAGCTGAAAAAGCTTGAAAACACTTCATCCATAACTATATACGCTATAATTTCAGGCCACAAGGTCGACCTAAACAGTATCAAAACTATTCTAAAACTTTTTTGAAATTGCAACGAAAGCCTGATAATAGAATCTTTTTGCGCAAAGTGAAATCAAAATTGTCTAAGTAGGATTGGCGTAATAAAATGTAACTCGACTCGATTTCAATCCACCCCCATATAGTGAAATGACTAGTACACGTGTGATAAGAAATATAAGCGCATGTGTACAAACAAACCTTAGCTTATAGTTCACACTGTTTGTGGACATCAGCTTCATCCATCCAGGAGGGCTCAAGTCAGGTAATCAGAAGTTGGAAATATCTACCACTGGGTCCCTACTCAATGGCCGAATGGTAACATGCTGGCTACTTAACCTGAAGGTCCTTGGTCCGAGCCCTGATGGGATCATGGATACGCACTGTCGAGGAGTCCAATTCTAGGACGAAACAGCTATCCAGTGAATCTTTCTCCAACTGGTGTCAGTCCATAATGAATGCCAACTTGAAAAATCTCTAAATTCCCACAAACCCCCCAAATTCAATCACATATAAGCTTGATTATTGTAAGTTCCAGTTTACTACCCCTTTGATAAGCTTATTAGTATTATATAAAGAAACGTCACTTAAAACAACCATTGCGATAATTTTGCTTGATGATAGGTACCAGTGGAATCCAGGCTTTGTGATTTGTTCTATTATGTAAATATAAATACTGGACCGGGTAAAAATCGTGAGAGCGTCCGGCTAGCAAGAATATAACATGGTTGATGTACTCAGCTGTACATAATCTAGTGAACTTGTCAGTTTACATGGATGAGACCGATTGTGTCAACTTGTCTTCCGTACACTGACGAATCAGCTGCTGATTCGAGAAGATAGCGCCTAAAAAAGAACTCCTAGAATGTACATTTCACATCTGCTTGAGATATAACAGCAAAATATAAAGAAAAACTGGTGTTAAAGCAGTTGGATTTCCTCTAGGACCTTTCATTGCCGATTAATTTATGGCTAACCTTGAGAACAGCACATTACTCCCAACAATTGACCAACCTGATGTACATAAAAGACATATGAATGATTACTTCAGTATTTTTGATGACAACAACGTGGCATGCCAACTTCAACATTTTATTGGCAATCACTCTTCAGTTAAATTTATACTGAAAGCTGAATGAAACTCGGCGCCAAACTTCAGTGGAGACCTGATAATTTCATTCGAAGATCCATCTACAAAAATAAGAAAGATATCCACCGACGATACACTTTTCCAAGAATTAGAAACCATTCCAGAAATACTGTTAGAGAATAACTCCTTATCAAAATTTAAACAGAAAAATATGAAACAGAAGATTATGGAATAGATTTAATCACCGAAGAAAATACATTCAACAAACTATAGATCCAAAGGTGGGATTTCTATGGGCATTCTTTTTCAACATTTGTCAAAGTCCATTTGTAGAACATTCTATTCTGCAAAGCTTCCGTAATGTCTTCTGATATCAGTAGCTGATTCGTCAGTGTATGACGGATAAGTTGACAAGTTCGGCGTCATCAATGTACATTTACAAATTTGCTGACTGCTTTGGAACTCAGTACATCTACCATACTATGCCCTGCCTTGCCAAACGAAGTTGCGAAGTCCGAATGCAAAAATAAAGAATATTGGTAGTTACATTTATTTTGCGTCCTAATTAAGATGAATCTATCCAACTGTAATAAGAATAAATTGTTTTCCATTATAAAAGAAATTTTACTTTTTTCTAGCATGGTTACTATCCGCAACATCAAGTGTTACGTGAGACTTTTTGTTGGTATAAAATGTCAGTATACTGTCATTTCCCTTAAGATCTCATTTAAGCACCGACATGCTTCTTGCTTAATTATCACATTGATTTGTTTTGCAGATGGTTAGCCATTCATTTATTATCCATAGATTTACGATTACTGTATGACTGATATAAGAAAAAGACTGGCATTTTGTATTTGTATTTTTAGAAAAAGAAATATTTTTAATAGTTTCAGCTAGCCGAGTAAAGTAATCAGTGTAAGCAAAAATTTTTACCTCAGTTGATTGTTTGTTTCATCCTGGAGAGGCTGAAGGATGCGCTGGATTCAAAACTACGACCGGAACAGGCTGGCTGGCTGGATTCAGGAAGTACAAATCATGTGCGGACCAAATTTCAACGCTACATTACACATCATCATAGAAAAGAGTATAGAATGGCAGTCAACCGAATCTCTACCTCAACTCCATCCACTTTGAGAAGGTCTTTGACAGCGTCGATCGAGAGGTAATTTGGAAACTGCTTCAATACTACGGAATACCACAAACCTTTATCAGCCTCATTCAACAACTATATGAAGACGCCACATGCCAAGTAATTCATAATAGGAAGCTCAGTGATGCCACTGAAGTGAAGTGAAGACAGGAGTGAAACAAGTTTGCCAACTATCACCGATGATATTCCTGATTGTAGTCGACTGGATCATACAGCAAACAGTGGGCAGCGAGAAGAGGGGGGTACGCTGGACTGCGGAAAATAACCTAGAAGACTTAGATTTCGCCAACGATGACTAGTGTCTAATGTCCTGTGGCACAAACTTGAAGATCCACAGGCGAAAACTGACAAGTTGGCAGGAGGGGCAAGGCAGCAAAGACGGGACTTCAAGTGAATATAGAGAAGAGAGAGGTGATGAAGATACCACACCAACAACTCCGACAACAACAACAAACTCCAGTCACCATCAACGGGAGAAACTTGAAGGAAGTAACCTCCTTCACCTATCTAGACAGCACAGTCTCAACTACGGGCGGCATAGACGAGGATGTTA